CCCTCCTTCCTTCCTCTCCCCCCTTTCCTTCCTTCCTTCCCTCTCTCCTTCCTTCCTTCCTTCCCTCTCTCCCTCCTTCCTTCCTTCCTTCCCTCTCTCCCTCCTTCCTTCCTTCCTTCCCTCTCTCCCTCCTTCCTTCCTCCCTTCCCTCTCTCCCTCCTTCCTTCCTCCCTTCCCTCTCTCCCTCCTTCCTTCCTTCCTTCCTTCCCTCTCTCCCTCCTTCCTTCCTTCCCTCTCTCCCTCCTTCCTTCCTTCCTTCCCTCTCTCCCTCCCTCCTTCCTTCCTTCCCTCTGTCCCTCCTTCCTTCCTTCCCTCTCTCCCTCCTTCCTTCCTTCCTTTCCTCTCTCCCTCCCTCCTTCCTTCCTTCCCTCTCTCCCTCCTTCCTTCCTTCCTTCCTTTCTTCCCTCCTCCCCTCTGTTCCCCACCCCTTGCTTTCTTTCTTCTTTTATTTCTTTCACTGACTCACTCATTTATTTGGCACCTGCTATGTACCAGACATCACAAATAAAGCTGAGCAGGTTTATTTGCCTTGAGAGAAAAGCAAACCACATACAGCAGGGACTCACGAGCTGGCCAGGCGGCGTTAAGTTAAAGGAGAGAGAGAGGCGAGGGGGTACTAACCACCCTGTGAAAGAGGATCTTGATGCTTGGCCTTTGTGGCTGTCTCCCGTGACTGTACAAAGGTGAATAGTGGGTGTGTATAATAGCATGGCCTCAAGTAACACCACTTCTGAGCTCCATATAAATCGTACTGTGGCTTTTTAAATGGATGACATTTAAGTTGATTAGTGTTGGATAACTGAGTTACAGATATCTCTGCATATGGTTAACAGTTCTATATGAGCATTAAAAGAGAAAAGCACCAACTAGAGATTAAATCTTATTTACTTATTCATTCATTCATCTATTCAGCAAATTCAGCAAAGCAGAATGGGAAAAGAAAAGGATGGATAAAGCAATTGGGTGAGTATGAGATCTGCTCTGTAGAGATGATCAGTCTGGACCAGAACCAGAACAGAAATGTCCTAAGAGCCCCACGAAAAACAAAACCTGAAGCAAGTCCACTTCTCCTGATAGAAGCACGTAATCCAGCTGAATTTTAAAACGTATTCTGTGTTTTGCATTTATCTGTATGATTGTGTGATATGACTTCGCCTGTGATCAACAGGAAAGGTAGAAAGTTATAATTGTATGAAAGTAATTTTCAGAAATCATTTAGAATTGGGTGTTTGGTAGTTTTCTTTTAAGGATTTCTATCGAGTGTTGGGCTATTGGATACAAATTTACTTTAAATTTTTTATGATGCCCTATTTCATCTAAACATATTTCTGAACAAAAACCTTTTTTCTGCACTGCATTTATATTGGCAAAGAGAAATTAAGAATTTGTTTCCTTTAATTTTTTGAAGACATGTAGAAAAGGAACTAGAAAATATAGACTGTGTTAAGGCACTTTTTAAAGTTTTTCTCATCTTCAAAGGAATATGATCTGTTTTATTATACAGGATTCAGAAAATATGGGCAAGTAATCAAAAAATCACTCAGTCTTTTACTTGCAAACCCATTCATACTTTGTGGCATTTCGTGCTAGCCTTTTGTGCGTGCAGATCTGTGTATATTTACTAAAATTCAGCTTGTTCTACCCATGTTTTACATCCTGCTAATTCTTTAAAAATATAGTTCTAATCAGCTATAATATGTTATATGTAAGATTACCCCAATGTATTTCATTAGTCATCTTTTTTAGGATATCTAAATAGTCTCCATGTGTTTCCATTGTAAATAGTGCACTGACGAATATCCTTGTCTATAAAGCTCTGTCCACTTTGAATTTTGTCGTACCATGTTTGGAAACAGAATTACCAAGACAGAGCACCTGAACTCTCAATTCTCTTGATAATAGAACACTGAAATCTTCTAGGAAGTCACAAAAGTCAATGTTTTGAGAGGGTAGAAAGAGCAACAGCCTGCCACTCTGATAATTTAATAGTAATTTAAAAATCAGGTGAGCGTGACTTGAATCGCTCATTTCCCGTGTGTGACCCCTGGTTGGTTTTGTGGTTTACACTTCACAGGTACTCATTTGCAATTGTGGGCATCAATATAACTGACCTGGCGTATAATCTACTGGTGAGCGGAGCTCTGAAAACCCACTTCTACAACATTGCCCCAGAAGCCCCAACGCTGTCTCACTTCCAGCAGACGTTCTGTAAGTGTCCCACTGCTTAATTATCAATATAGGTTTCTTTTACAGTGGTTCTCAGCCTTCCTAATGCCGTGGCCCTTTAGTACAGTTCCTGTGGGTCGGGACCCGCAGGTTGAGAGCCGCTGCTTTAGAATATTCCACACAAGGGCTGCAGCTGTGAGACCCCTGTGATTTGACTGCTTTGGGAGCCTTGAACTTCCTCCTTTGGTTTTGACTTTGCTTTCTCATTCTGCATTTGTATTTTCGGGCATGGTGGATTTTGCCTTTCCCAGCTCTTGCAGAGTATACAGCGTGTCAATACCTGCTCTGACTCAAGTCATCACGGGTGTTTTTCTTTCTCTGTTCCTCGTGGCCTGGCACTCACGAGTGCAGGTCCTGGGGACACCCTGAGTTGACTCCCAGATCTGTGTTTTAGCAGAAATGAAACCTCCAAGAAGAGATTAGAAGATAAAGTCGAAAAACTCTCCTAGAAAGTAGAAGAAAAAGACAGAGATGAGGAACAGAATATAAAAAAAAAGGTTGAAAAAGTAAAGGACCCTTCCTGGGAGGCTTACGTTTGAATAATAGAAATGCCAGAAATAGAACTGAAAACTGAGAAGAGGGGAGGGGATCAAAAAAATAAATCAAGAAAAAGTTTTAGAACTGAAGGATGAGTTTTCATATTTAAAATAGTAGGCACCAAAATAAAAGATTAATATAGAGCCACCAAGATTGATGTCATTATGAAATTTTATGACACTAGAAAGAGATGATCCTGAAAATTTCTAAAGCTGTCACATAAAGAATTGGGAATGAAGATGACTTTGCACTTCTCAACATCAACTGTGTATTCTAGAAGACAGGGGAATAATGTCTTTAAAAATTAGGGAATATTTTTTAAACTAAGGAAATTTGATTTCTGGATTAGAATTCTAACTACCAATCAATTATGGGAATGGACTATAAAGACATTTTTTCAAATGCAAAGTCTTAAATATTTTATTTCCCTGTACCTTATCGGAAAGCTCCGGGAGGGTATGTTTCCACAAAATAAGAACGTAATCCTGAATGAGTAAAGGGGATCTAGAAAACAGGAAATGTTTCCCAGGAAGTAGTGAAGGGAAGCTCCAGGAGAAGGGCAAAGGGAAAGCCCAAGGTGATATCCATGCAATAGACTTCAAATATTAAATCTACATTCAGAAGATCAGAGGGCTCCAGGAGAGACTCTTTGAAGAATTTGAAATCGACAGAGTATCTACCATGTTCGAACACACTGAAAGGACGCTGGCGCGTGTAGGAAGTAGTTTAGGATTAAATTAAGTAGAAAACTGAGCAAATAAACAAGGCAGTTATTAATTCTGGGTAAAGGAATGTGTGAGGAAGTAAGTGACATGTGGCTGGAGTGGGTGAAAGGGAGAAGAATCTTCAATAAATGTTTCAATATTTATAAAGAGAAGTCTAAAAATACACAAGCAATGAAAAGCATCTTATTTTAGTGTTCTGGAAATAGTCAAAATAATCAACTTCAAGTGCTGAAATGTTGCTTTAAGGAATCAAGAATTGGGGCAAGATATACTGCTACTTTTTGTTTGATTTGGTTTGTTTTTTTTAATTTTTGTAATAAGACATGTTGAAACTATTAATATTTGACTCTGAATTATATGTATATGTAACGTAGGTAAAAATGAAAGGAAATTTTAGAACACTTATGCTTTATCCTTGTTAATGGGGAATGTAAGTCGTCCCTCCATCACGTTACTGCTTCTCCCACTCCAACAACCGGACCATTGTCTTCCCCCCCGTAACAGTTCTGACCATCTCCAGCAGTACAGGGTGTCCCAAGGGTCACCCACCAAGTCACCACACACAATGTTCATTACAAAATTTTACAAAGAGGTGGGCAACACATAGAGAATATTTTATAAATATTTAGTAAAAATTTGTAATGACTGTTCTATAAATAAATCTGAATGGAACTAGAAACAATTCTCCTAAGGGAAGTGTCACAACACAGAAAAAACAAACACCACCCGTGCTTACTGGATGCTAAGTTGGAACTGGTAGATTAAGGCCTCCATGCTCACGTGAGAGGAGAACTCAGTGAAGTTCAAGGGGAAGGGCGGGTGAAGTCCCACCTAGCAGGTCTGTGGTACACTCCCTGGGTGAGGGACACACCTGCAACTCGGACTTTAACCTCCACAAGCAAACTATGCAACTAATCACATGTACCCCCCTGTTAATCTGAAATTAGAAGAAGAAAAATTTAGGAGCTGTAGATGAGCATATTAAAATTTGTTTTTAATTCTTCCCCAAAATTCTATAAACAAAGGTACATTTAGCCATAATTTCCCATTTTCCCTATGTAATATGGCAACTTTATGGCCAACCCTTGGGGTGCCTGTATTATTGAGATTTTACTACAGGTCAGGTTCGGCACCAAGGAAGACAGGCATCTCAATAAATAATTGAAATACAGTGGGCAGAATTTTGTGATTGAGAAAGTAAAGATACTGATTTTAAAAATTGAAAGGCTAATGGCTGGTGCAACTCACCCAGTCTGGGAGTCAGGGAACCGTCACCAAAGCAAATGCCGCGTTTGATGGAGACCTGAAGGACGGGTGGCAGAACACAAAGCCATGGGTGGCCGAGTGGTCACAAAGCAAGAGAATATGTGGATTCAGGAAATAGACCGTAGGGTGTAAGAGGAGGGTGAGGAGAGATGACATTGGACATGGAAGGGCGCGTGCTGGGGGCTGGTCCAGGAGAGCCTTGCAGGCTGCATCGAGGAGCATAAGCACACAGACAAGTGCGGCCCTTTGCTGTGCTCCCCTGGCCTCTTACACTTACTCTCTATTCACAGTGCTCTTGAGGGAAATCAGGGAAAGCGTTCTAAGGGGAATGGAATGAGTTTAGTTTGGGCGCACTGAGGCTGAGTTCCTCCGGGGAAATCCATCTGGAGCTGCAGAGTGGGCATTCTAATGTGAGGCTCCCGAGCTCTGAAGGGTTAGAAGGACCTCGTGCTACAGATCTGGGGGTTGTCAGCACTGGAGACAATATCAGAGCCACGTGCAGGGAGCTCACCCAGGAAAGGATCAGACTTAGAATCCTAAAGAACTGGTATTGAAGGGCAGGAGTATTTGTTTTGTTCACTGCTGTATTCTCAGCTGGTAGAAAGTAGGAGCTCGGTAACTGTTGGATGGGTGGATGGGTGGATGGATTGATGAGAAGCTAAAATATCGGATGATGTTCTTTGTAAGGGGAAGAGAAATCTAGTTTCTCTGGAAAACTTTCGCCTTGGCTTGAATTGTTATACCCTCAAGAGAATCCTAGCCCAGATGGACAGGCAGATGGCTTATTTCCTAAGGCTGTCACCTAAGCTTTTGGAAACAGCAGCAGTCCCCCTGTGCAGTGGGGGCAGCAGGGGGACTCAGTCCTCTCTAGGGGAAGTGCACTGACTGTCTGTTGTTGGACGTGATCGGTTCTGCACGCCTCCCCTGGGACATTCTTGCAATGACCTATGTCCTTGCAGATGTCTCTGCTCTCTATTAACTGGATGCAGCAAAGAAAACCAAGAGACACTCAAGCAGCAGCAGATGTGCTGCGGGCTTGAGTTGGAAAGCAAATTACTATTCCAAGCAAGTATTTCCTCTAGGTGAATATGAGAATATAATGGCTCTATCCTCCTGACTTCACAGTATTATTCAGCGTTCACTGATACAGACCGAGGCAGTATGTCACAAAAATTGCATTCAGTCTAAAGCTCCCCTGAATACGCAGCCCCACTGAAGTGGAGTGAGGTTCGGTGTGACAAGCAGGAGGAAAGTACAAAGGCCAGAAGAGGAAAAGAAATGATTTTTTTCTCTGACCCCCAAAAGGAGGACCTATTCAGTAGGAATAAGAACCAGAGGAGCAGGATGCCCTGGAAGGCAGCCTGTTGCAGCGGTGGGAAGTCAGTTGGTTTCAGGTCCTGGCTTCCACTTGCAGCTGGAATTGTTTGCCACTCCAGTATCTTGTCTGAATTCAGTGTCCCTGTCTGCAAAACGGAGACACAGGGTCTGTATTACCTACTTCCCAAAGCTGTTAGAAGATGAATGAGATGGTGTAAGCCAGCGGTTCTCAGCCTGTAGGTCGCAAAGGGTCTCCTGCATATCAAATATTTACATTACGATTCATAACAGTAGCAAAATTACAATTATGAAGTAGCAACGAAAATAATCTTATGATTGGGGGTCACCACATGAGGAACGCGGCATAAAGGGTCACGGTGTTAGGAGGGTTGGGAACCACTGGGTGAGCAGCAGCCTGGCCTCTGTTTCCCCCTCTTCTTTCCATGACACTTTGTTAGCGTCTTTGATTAACAAATCGTCAGCTGAGGTTGTCCACCTGTCTGTCTCTCTGAGAGCCTGAGAATCAGGGAGCCCGAGGGCTTCACTTTTCCTTCATCCTCAGTGCCTCCTCCTGTGCCTATTACATATCTGTGAACAGAAGGGTCAGTTGACCAACCAACCAAATGAAGTTTTGAAGACTCTATAATTTCTCTAAATGAGTAGACTTTTATGATTACCATATGTACGTTGGGAGCCAGGCCACCATTTCTGCATTTTGACTAAGATCATGTTATATGGTCTCTGATTATTTTCCTCCTGGGCTAGAGAAGAAAGAGAGACCCACGCAATCAGTCTGCAAGCCATTTAGAGGAAGGATTCTGGGAATCGTGTTAGGTTATGGGCCACCGTCTTCCCCTACCCCTTTAAACCTTTCAAGATGTTTTTCTACAATTGCATCTGAGGTAGAAAAACCAAACACATCTTCTATAACTCTGCATTGTAATATATCCCCTTTAGAGGGAGTTGCCAGTACTTTATAGAAAAGTAAACATTTTTTAAAATTATTTTTTATTAAATCATAAGTTTGTACATTGACGCGTTTATGGGGTAAATGCAGGGTACTGCTTTGATACACAATGAGAAATGTTTACATTGAACTAAGTACACATCCATCACAATTATACTCATTTCTTAATAGAACATTTTTATGTACATTACAGAAAAGTAAAATCTTCATTAAAATGTTTTTCTCAGTGCCTGTTTGTCATTGTCAATAGGAATATTTCTGTCACCATGAAATATTAATGAGGTGCATCATGGATGATTTTAATTCACAGTGTTGGAAACCAGACTCTACATACAAAATAGCTCAGGCCTCTTCCTTTGAGCTCAGAGACCAGTCAGGAAAATTATGTATGTATTTTATATAGTAAGGAGAAATTATAAATTATCATAGATCTCTTTTAGAACCATAAAAATTGTAATGGAAGGAAATTTAAGTAAATTCCCTTAGAAGGAAGCTAAAGGAATTTACTTAAAAAGAGAATCTCTTCTAGACCAAAGGTTCTCGACGTTAGTGACATGAGATCCGTCTTACTGAATCCATGTCTGGTTAAATCCAGAAAGATCTGTGTTTCTTACAAGTACCTCAGACCACTCCTGGGCTATTTTAGGAGTTTTCCCAGTCACTGAAATGGACAGATGGTTGAATTCGTTTGGTTGAATAAGATACTGAGATCAGAGGAAACAGGTTTCTGTTGAGTGTGCATTAAAAGAACCAGATAATAAGCAGACTCCAAATCACGGCTTGTGAGAAATGGTGAGAAAAAAAGATGTTAACCTGGAAAAGAGACAAGCGGAGGGCACGCGGCACACTTCACATGGCTGAGATGAGGAACGGGCGTGTGTTCTATGAAACAGAGGGCAGGAGATTTGGCCCCACGTGAGGAAGAACCTTTTAAGCATCAAGTTTCTCATCTATAGAACAGTCAGGTATCTACACCAGAGGAGTCAAGCCTGGACGCCACCTGGGAGAATAAGTGTCAGGAGAGCAGAGACAGGAGGTGGCTGACGCCTCTGATTTGAGGTTTTTCTGGTGTAACCACATTCCAATGACAGTGATAGTGGACCCTGGATTGTGTAACCCAGAGGCCAATTGGGTGATGGCTGGTGTGTCCCCTGTCAGAAGTACTTAAAAAAAAAAACATAGATCTTCCTCCCTAAACCAATATGGCAGCTGCTAGGTCCACGCGGCTGCTGAGCACTGGATGTGGCTAGTCCAAATGACAGGTGCCATTAAGTGTAAAATACACACTGGATTTTGAAAACCTGTAACAAAAATAATGCAACCGTCTCATTCATAATTCTACTCTATCTTATATATTGAGTTTAAATAATTATTAAAATATCTCACAAAAAAGAAGGATCAAAAGGAGTCACGTCAGTTATTGTAGGTGGAGGGCCCCAAGGCAGGCTAGAAATAGAACAGTCAACCCAAAAGAAACGCAGAATAACAAAATTCTGTGACATCTCCCCTCATGTTTGTGGAGAGACCACGTGCTTAAAGTCATACAGGCAGGCTCGGCAATGTGACAAGGTGAGTAATCAGAGGCGTGAGTCTGTGGAAGTGAACCTGCCACTGGCAGGTGTGTTGGGGACAGTGAAGGTCACTTCTGGGATTGTATTATGGTGAAATATAAATAATGGCTTTTAAAAATCACTTTATAGCACTATGCTGAAGATTTCCCAGACAGAGCTAGTTAGCACAAAAGCAAACTCTGCTGATGCTCTGATGTTTCTGTAACTGTTAGAATTGAGTATGTTTGTTCCAAATTCTCCCCCTTCCCACCCTCTCACAAGGTCCACTGCCCCCTTCCCACCCTCCCACAAGGTCCACTGCCCCCTTCCCACCCTCCCACAAGGTCCACTGCCCCCTTCCCACCCTCCCACAAGGTCCACTACTCGTTCCTTCCTGTTCCCATTCACACATGAGGTGCACCAGCAGGATTCAAACCAGATTTCTGGCTGCAGAATCCTGGCTCCTATCTTCTACCGCAACCTGAAGACAAAGAAAATCTGCTATAATACTTGCTTTTCTTATTATTTCTTTTCTTTTTCAACTATGATTATTTCCTTAAATATTTTTATTTCTGACGGATAGATGTACCTGAGCTTGCTTATGAGTTTGTTTCATAAAAATATCAAATGTGAATGGAACTCACATTTCAATTCTAAAAGTGGTGCTTAAAAATAGACAACAATATGGGGAGAGCAGAGAGCTCCGTGGGGAACAGAACGCAATGAATAGGTTCTTATTTCAAGTACTGAATATTTACCCCCCTCCACTTTTTCCAGTCCAGATCACTGATAGATAACATTTTTGAGACACAAAAGCACTTCAATATGAAATTATGCTTCAGAGCAAGCGAGTCTTATTAACAATTTCATGTAGGTTAATGACCAGTCTTTGTTGTTCAAAGTTGATTTGCCATTTTTATTGTCTCGTAATAGATTGTCAGAACGCATTTGTTTGATTTGTCAGAGTAATTTAAAACTTTAGTTAAACTGAATATCAAGAGAAAAAAGGCTGCATAGAATAATTCTGAAAGATTGGACCGTTATGCTAATTTAATTAGGAGAAGAAGGATAAAGTAGTTACTGTCAGCCTTTCAGAGTTTGTTCCCAAAGTGATTCATATTCAAGAAACAGCAGAATTGATTTGTCTTCCTGCTTGAGAAGAGAGTAATTCCAGGGCCAGATGCAAAAACCCTTGCAGAGTGGCAGCCTCTACTGTGCTGGTCTTAAAGAATATCTGGAAACAGTGGTATTTGCTATACTTTGAGGTCTTCTTAAGCTCCATGGATGCCAATGTTTGCCCCAACATCTCCTTGGGGCATTCAGGATGCTGCTGAATGTGATTTAAGGACTTTTTTCTGCTGCGTTCTTACCATTTTATTGTCTCTAACAGGCTATTTGATGCACGAATTTCATAAGTTTTGGATTGAAGAAGATCCCATGGACATAATGGAATTTAACCGTGTGCGGGAGAAATTCCGTAAGAGAATCGTCAAACAGCTGCAGAACCCAGACATGGCGCTGTGCCCACATTTTGCCGCCTCGGAAGGTCTAATCAACATGTAGTCGCCACGCTGGAGTGAATGGGTCCCCTGGAACACTGCCTCATCGTCCTGTTAGATCTCTGCTTAGGTCACAGCTCACACGGAATGCACACAGTGGTTGCATGCATGCCTTTTGGTACAGTATTTTCATCTCTTGGTCCTAATTCCAAGATCCCCAGATACCACTATTTCTGGAGTGTCTGTCATCCAGTGACTGCTCACATTGTGGCATCGTGCAGTGTTACATCTTGCCTTGATAGCCAGGTATGGAGAGAGTTTTCTATTTTTTTAGATTTTTTTTCCCTCCCCCTCATACTTCAGCATTAAAGAGTTGTATTTCTCTAGCTGTATTTTGTATGTAAGAGGTTTAGCTGAATCTTGTTCTGTGAAAGCCTTTTAATTTATTGATAACGTTTCATGACTACTGCTGCTAGCTTTTCAAGCCGAGTTCACGCTTGGACCTCATCCTGATAAAGTATAAGACTTTAAAATAATACCGACAGACACATGATACGCCAAACTTCCCGCAGACATAGCTGGGCTTCATGAACACATAACGAGGCTTACAAGAAGTAACTTTAGTAGGAGCTGTTTTTGTTTGAAGTACTGCAGAATTATACTGTGACTTACTCCCACTCCAGTCACCCCTGTGTCCTAGTCATTTGGATATCAAATTAGTTTATTCTCATAATTTCATGGGCCTGGATGCCTAAACAGTTTATGATGCATGGAGCCTCAGAAAAAGAAGTAAATGTATTTCAAAAGCTGCAAAAGGTTTTTCACTGCCTGCCTCTTACTGAACTCAGTTACACGCTCGCGCTGTTCTGATCCAGGCATCTTTGCTTGGGGAACTAAGTGCTGACTGGTTTGTTGTCTATGTCAAGGAGCAATATTAAAAAATGATTGGCAAGAAAGTGCATTGCAAGAGAGCATCCTAAGTTGTGTCTCAGTGCAATGTTTCTCGGAAAGAATGACCTTGTTTCTTGTGTTGCTGAAAGAAGTAACTTGCTAGGAAGGGGAAAAGTCAAATCATTCCAAAACTGCTAAAAATTATTTTAAAAACCATGATTTAGTTTGGAATTATGATTGTAGTCTGTTGAATAGTATTTACCATGGCATTTCATACCCATGGTATTTTATACCTTCTGACTATCAATTTTAGTATTATTAGATGTTTGTGTAATCACTGGCTTATTTAAATGAATTTTGAGTACTGCCTAATTGTCAGTTATATGAATAAATTACATGTCATTCTACTGTACCCTGTAGTGGATTTCATTTTAATTTCATTTTTTGTGCTCGTACAGCTTCTGAATATGCAAATATGTGAGTGAGTAGAATGTCAAAGACAGACAATCTGGGGCTGACAATAAATCATGCCACCATCCAGAGTCACTAGATGTGGGTTAGAAGGGGTTGATCTTGAGACCTAATGGTGCTGTAATGAAAGGATAAGATCTGACTTTGTCTTCCTAACTTCCTGTGAAATCTGGCGTGGCTCCTGCTGGGGCCGATGACACAGCAGAGACGCTCACTTGCCCAGTCTCATCCCTCTGGGGCTGGCTTTCCCCTTTGCCTTTGGACCGTGTACCAGTGTTTCTGTCACAGCCCAGTGCCCGTTCTTAGAAGAGGGAAGGAGGGGGATAGCTAACACATGATGTGTACCATGAATAATGACAAGAATAGACATTCCTCTCCTGAGGAAGTGAGAACTTGCCAACCTAGTAACTGGCCTGCCTTGGGAGCCCCAGGCACCTGCTGGGATGAGGCTGAATTTCCAGGGCCCCTGCTGGGATGAGGCTGAATTTCCAGGGCCCCTGCTGGGATGAGGCTGAATTTCCAGGGCCCCTGCTGGGATGAGGCTGGATTTCCAGGGCCCCTGCTGGGATGAGGCTG